CCCCATTGAATAGGGTCAAGTACAAATAGATCTACCTATGCTTGGCATACCAACCCATACTGGGTACTTCCTGACTCCTTCATCCATAAATCCTTAATTTCCCTCTCTAGACCATACACATTCAGCTCCCTTATATCCATATTACTTGCCACCAACAACATAAATAGCTCCATTAACCTACCCCTACCCTCCTAACCATCACCCCTATTATTACCCACCTCTTATACAGCAAGAACATGGTGAACCATAAACACAAGCAGAGGTTGAGGCTTGGGAGACTACATTAATAGACAAAAAGCATGTATAAATAAAGCCTAAGGGTGATATATAAGTCCATTTATTTTATAAAGTTATAATAATTTAATATATTATGTAATAAAAAAAAAATTACCTATAACTTTAATCCCCCAAGGCAGCCTACCCACAAGATACGTGATATCATACAGAGTAATTATGTTGCTCCTTATTTATCGTGGAAGAAAATCTTAAAGGATATTATGGATATGTGGTTCAAAGAATTTTAGATATATTTATTTGGCATTAATTAAAAGTTTTTATTCCATTTGTATTAAATTTTTTTATGTCTATGTTTTATAGAAATATTTTTGGTGGTTCCCTAAGCATGGTATGAGAATCATAACAAATTTGTAGAAAAGAGCCTTTACTCATCTTAAGGAATTATTCATGGACATTATAAAGTCTATGTATCATCCATTATGGATTGGAGAGGGAGTATGTGTAATATCAGTTTTTGCTCCAGGTTCGTCCGGACGAAGTCGGATCGTCCGGGACGATCGGTACAGGTTGTGCAGAGAAAATCATGTTTGGCTGTATGGTTCGTCTGGACGAAATCAGGATCGTCTGGACGAAAATAAGTCAGAGAACCCTTCGCCGGGGACGATATTTGATTTTCGTCTGGACGAAATAATTCTCTCCATGGATCGTCCGGTACGAAGCTCGATCGTCCAGGACGATCAGTCTGGATATATATAGAAATGAGATATTTTGAAGAGAGAGAAAAAAGTTGAGGAGAGAGAAAAACGAAGGAAAAAGTGGAAAAGTGGATTTTCGGGCGACGCCGAGCTGTTTTCGTCCGAAGTGACTGTTGAGGAAATTGCTGTTAATTTCTGTTTTGTCCGGAAATCTTCTGAATTGATATGCTATCTGTATATGCTATATAAAGGGAGTTATAAGGGGCCTGGATCCTATGAGATTCAGTTAGTGTCTGGGAATTCTGAAATGAGCTCAATATGAAATCTGATATCTGTTCTGTTCCGGATCCGAGGAAACAATCTGTTTAGGTGCTATATGCACTATATATGTATTCTGGTGCTATAAGCACATCTGATCTGATCTGTTTTGGTGCCGTGAGCACAAAGGGAGGCATAAGTGGCCTGGATCTTATGAGATTCAGTCAGTGTCAGGGAATTTAGCTATTAATTAAATATCTGATATCTGCTATATGATTCTGATATGATTTGTTCTGTTCTGATATGATCTGTACGATTCTGATTCTGTTGATCTGATGTGTCTGATCTGTTATGTTTCTGATTTGATACAACTTCCATTTCCGTACAGTTTTGTTGATTTGATATCTGTCCGAATCTGTTTCGATTCTGTACGGATTTGTCTGCTGTGTTGGTTTTGAGATTCTGAGGATTTTGATTGGAGGTTTGTTGCTTTACTGAGCTGTTGAGCTCACCCTTGCTTTCTGGTGGTTTTCAGGTTCTGGAAAAGGCAAGGAAGTCCAGGATTAGTTCAGAGTCTGATCAGTATAGGTACTTTTGTACTTTTGGTTTTTGTACAGTCATGGCTTTTCTGTTCTGTCTTTCTTTCTGTTGAAAGCCATGTACTGTTCTGTAAATGATTGTTTTGAGGAAATGAAATCGGATAGATGTTTTGTTCTGCTGCATTTGATGATACATAGTAGCTCTGTGTTTGTTAGTCTGTGTGAATTAATTATTTGGAAGATTCAGTTCCGAACCAAATTCCAAAGCTAGATCCTGGTTAGTGCAGCTCCGTCGCGATCCAGCGCGGGCGGGATCCGTCTCGTCTCGGGTCGGGTCGTGACAGTATGGACTGATTTGAGCAGAGTTTGGGCGAGTCATGATATCAGGAAACTGAGAGAGCAAAATAAGCAAAATAGAGCATCTAAATGTGGGTTTTGGAAGCTATCTTCATATGGGTGGTTCAGTGACTCAAACTGAGCAGAGTTGACGATTGGTAAAGATTATTTAAATTAGTTTTAGAAATATATGTACATTTTTTTTATTATACACTTTATTTGAAGAAAGAGTATCTTATTCCAGAGCTGGCACCATTAGAGTTGCATACAAGGACTCATCAACTTCAAACTTATCATTACTGAGCTGATGAGAAGGCGAGAAAAGCTCACATGAGAATAATTTTTTGAGTTATAAGAAATAAACATAAATTTTATTTTATGGATTTATTCACGTAGGATGAAATTATATATATGACTTCAGAAGAGCCAGTCGTCTATTAGTGAGGGATCATCTTCAGGATCGACCTAGTATTTTGAGTAACACACAAGGTTAATAGCTGTTGGAGGAAGGCAAAGGGGGAGGGTTTATTGCTTAAGTTTGCTTGGATATGCTTATGAGGGCAATACATCTACTTCATCATTTTATTATGCTAGCGGATTTGAAGAAATCGTCAGCCAAAGCTATTTTGAAAAGATAGATATAGGAAATAAGACAAATTCAAGGTATGATGCAGGCTAAGCTGCCATCATATCTTGTTAAAAATCATAAGAAAAAGGAGCAGGAGCCTATGCATGAATCACAGGGCAGCAAGGACCCAGGCGTTGATTAGATTTAATTTAATGTTGAAATTGTCGTTGGAGTTTGAAGAGCTAACTTTTGTTTGAGAACATAAGGATGTGAAACTTTTATTACAATTGAAATTTATGCTTTATAGTTTGTTTAACAAGTTGAAGTTTATCTTTTTCAATGTATAAATATTTTTTTTTATGAATTTTATGTTTTAAACTTCTCAAGCATCTGTTGATTGTGAATATTGTGTTAGTGTATATTATTTTATTTATATTATTTAGGAGCTATACGTGCAAATTGTAAAAATGGGGTAGGACAGAGGGCGCTATCAATTTTTTTTAGATACTATTGGTTTTCGGTGGCTTAGCCACCGAAATATTAAATACCAGAGTACATTTACAAGACGCTAGAACACTATATAAACTGTCAATTATTAGAAACGATTTTTTGACGGTTTAATAGCCATAAATTTTGGAGCAAAAAAAACCACCAGAACAACAATTTTCTGCCAGAAAAATGTCTATTTCTGCCAAAAAAAGTCTTCTGTAATGGGCAATTTTCCTGTAGTGCATAAACCTTTACATTACAAAGGAAGGTGATATTAGATGATAGCTTAGCAATATACAAAAGAGTCAAGCAAATATTTTTTAATTTATTTAAAGAGGAAAACGAGTAATAAGTATTGGACTAGGGATTTAATATTCATGAAGAAAAAGGCATGTGCTATTAGATCCATGTGTTATTGATTCCTTCTACATGAGTAATGATTAGGAATAATTATCTTACAACATGCCTTAATTGTTACTACTATTGACAATTTTAAAGATAGAAAGATAGAATTGGATGTTGGATCAAGTAACTTCATGTTGGATGAGTTATTTGATAAGCCCTGCAAATAAACAATCTTTTACAAAATAAAGCAAAGAGGAAGGACTCCTTTAAGTTTCTTGACGAAACCCTAAAATTCATCATGAATGAGGGAAACTTTCTTTTAAGTACTTGACTAAGGTAGAATTCATATATTTTCAATGAGTTGAAATAATGTACATTGGAAGATCTATGAGATTTCACTCTCTATAAAAGCCAAGATATTTTATGACTCTCATTACTATTACATTTAATGTAGATTATGTAGATAATAATGAGTTTGTTTTGTCGTTACATTCTTATATTATATGAGATGTAAGGTTTATTGATAGGAATGAATTTTCTCCTCTACTTATGCTTAAAATTTTGATGAGGACCACCATAGTTGAAGTATTAATGTTTGAAGTAATGTTAGCCTTATAAAATTTGAAACAAAAAGTTAAGTATTGTTAATAGTTCTTGTACATATAATATGATGAGTGTTTTACATTTTATTTGTAGTGGTGACTACTGAATGCAAGCACTAGAATCTACCATATTACTAATTTAAAGAAAAAAGATCATTTGAAAGTTTTAGTTGATTGCAAAAAAAATTTACATGGACTACTAATGAGAAAATTTATTTTATGACAATGAAGATCCATAGGTCCATTCAAAATGAATTGCTTGCTTATTCTTTCAAACATTGCTTTCCTTTGTTCTTAATATTTATTAGGTGTTTAATGATTGCTTATAAACTTTTTTAGTTAATTAATCTAATATAAACATTCAAATTTAATCTAGTATGATATAGCTTTTCAATTGCATTCATTGTGTTATATCTTTTGAAATGCTCTATGTTGTGCTACGAATGTTGTGTTATCTCTTGAATAATACTATATTTAATGTATCTTACAATCTGTTGAGTTATAGTTATTATGATAGCATCCATTTAGCTGTGTATCAATCTTGAAGTCTACTATGTTCAGACTAACTGAATGCTCTTAGGTGTATTTGAAAGAAGAAAACCATGTTCGAACCATGATCACGTAATGCTTAAATCATGATCAAGCAATGCTCGAACCTTATTAAGATAGAGCTCCAACGTTTGTTCAAATATTCTTGAAGTATATATGATTCTAATCTCATTCGAACAAAATTTAAATATAATTCATATCTAGATTAAAAATGATTAGAACCTTGTTTGAATTTGTCAATAGAAAAGGATTTTAAATAAGCAGTTCATGTCAAAAGTGGAGATATTTTTTCCGAAACAATTTTCTTTGTATAATTTTGTGTAAACGAAGTTTTAGTCAGCCTTAGAAATTTCATTTAGAAGCCCCGAATGGCAGTCCTACCTCCCATCTATCTGTCATTGACGTACATGAACTATGGCTAATTACTCTGTTCTCTCACAGTATATACAAATGTGCCCCTACATTCAGCCATGGCAACTCTCTCTCTCTCTCTCTCTCTCTCTCTCTCTCTCTCTCTCTGTGTGTTCATATTTATCTTATGAATGTTCAAACCATAGCAATATAGTTCTAAATCAATATTCGATTATAAAGTAACCATCAGCTACTGGTATAATTACATTTACTCTTCTCCCTGTTACTCTGTCCTCTACCCCTTCATCTCGCACGAATAAATTTACTGCTTAAAATTCCTTGAATCAGTTTGTTTCATTTAGTATTTGTTAGTGATTTTATGAACCTCTCTCTCTCTCTCTCTCTCTCTCTCTCTGCTCTACTTTCCAGATAATAAAGCTTATCCTAAATAGGTGCATCACATTTGGATAATCGACGCAGATATAAACTAAGAAATGTCTTTTAAAGCATAATTTTTTAACACAATCTTTGAAGTTTTGCAAATTGAAAGTTTCTTCTCCAGCTTCTCTACATCAGTCATATAAGATCGAATTTCCCTCTCTCATTCTCTCAATACTATACACTAGAAAGCTTATCATCTAGTAAAGCTACTAAGATCTACTACCTTTTTCTCTAAAACATGGGGAATACCTCCTGCGCACCTTGCCCAGTGTATGGCGCTGGTTCAAACTCCGTAAAGGCCATCGACAGCAACGGAAGAGTACATGTTTTCCTCTACTCCGTTAAGGCAGAAGAGCTCATGCTAGAGAACCCAGGCCAATTTGTTTGCGACTCAACCTATCTCCAAGTTGGCTGCCGCATTCGCGGGCTTAACGCCGACGAAGATCTCATGCGGCGCCGCCTTTACTTCCTTCTTCCCAATGACCTTCTATTCTCTGTGCTTACCGAGGAGGAAATGAAATGCCTTTTAGGTCGAGCTACCGGTGCTATGAAAGTAAAGAGGAGGAGGGGGAGGTCAAAGATGAAAATAATAAAGACGAGTGACGAGTGCTTGAGGGAATTTCTGCCGGAGAGGAAGCAGAGTTGTGATCAAAAGTTGGGTGTTGGTCGGATGCAGAGATTGCGGTCGTGGGAACCGGCGTTAGATACGATATACGAAGAGGGGATTAAGATTTGAGTATTTACTTGTGGTTTTCCCCATTTTTTGGAGTCGTTATTACATCTTTCGATCGGATGCAGAGGAACATCCTGTCCTAGGCAAAAAAATGCTCGAGGGCGGTTTTTTGCCTAGGACCGGATATTTCTTGCATCCGGTTAACCGAACCAAATAAAAGCGCCATTTTTTGAGGTAATGCGCTTTTAGTTAGATTTTGTTTTTTTTTTTTTTTGAGTTGGAAGGGGTTATATGTTTTTTTTTCCGGACATTTTATAAAATGTTTTCATTGTCTTTTTCGCACATGATTATGATTGAGTAATGCTAATCAGCAAAGGAAAGTTTACAGTTAAAATGATTAAAACTAAAATAATTCCTATTAAAATTAAGTAATAAAAAAGTAGGCAAAATGAGTTTAGACTTTTAGTGCAGATGCATGGATAGAAACATATGTTGGATGGATATATTATGATCACAACATTGGCAATTAATTTCCAAAGGAAGCCCATTTATGAATAGTAGTGTCAATTGAGATGAAATATTAAAGACTGATTATATAAAAATAAATGGGTATAAGGTAGCTTTATTCCTTAATGACAACAATAAATTTTCAGGTTTGCTTTGTCTAACGGTTTTTTCTTTTTAAAGCTGATTATTGGCGCAGATTTTATTTCATCATAAAAAATTATTACTAGGTCCTTAACTTCTCAATTGCTAACAATACTCAAGGAGTACAAGAAAAATAGGGAAAAAAAAACCTAAAGAACCATTAATCCCTATCTAAGTACATAGAATAAATTTGGGTGATGATGATGAAAAAAAAAAAAAAACAATTTCTCTCTCTTGAAAAAGTCAAAGAGGATATTTTTAATTTTCAACCTCAGGAAGATGTTTATTGGAGGCAAAAAGCTACTGCTAAGCATTTGCTTGAATGTGATAACAACATTAAGTATTTTCATGCTTTGGTTAAAAGAAAGAGGGTCAAAAACAGTATTTATAAAATCCAAAGGGAGGATGGTTCTTTTACTGAAAATTATGTGGAAATTGCTAATTTAGCTGTGAATCATTTTCAAACCAGGTTTAATAAACTTTTTACTCCTGATCAGATTATTGATCATTATTTCATTCCTTCCCTTATTTTCCTTGAGGAGAATATCTTTCTTTCTAGGCCTCCCTCTTTTGAGGAGATTAAAGAGATCCTATTTGATATGAATAGGGAGTCTGTGGCTAGGCCGGATGGGTTTACTACTCTATTTTTCAAAAATCTTGGCATATTATTGGTAAAGATATTTTGACTGCTATTTTGGATTTTTTTGTTGGTACCCATATACCTTAATTTTTTACCTCTACTGCTATTGTGCTTATTCCTAAAAACAATGTTAATATCAATTGGAATGATTTTAGACCTATCAGTCTTTTCACTTTCTTTAATAAGTTGATTTCTAAAATTATTGTGAATCGTCTTACTACTATGTTACGTAGAATTATCTCGCCTAATCAGATGGGGTTTGTGAAAGGTAGGGCCATTACTGATAATATTTTGTTGGCTCAGGAGTTCTGTCAAGATTTGGATGTTAGGGTGAGAGGTGGTAATTTAATTTTGAAGCTTGATATTGTCAAGGCCTATGATAATATTGATTGGAACTTCTTTTATCTTATTTTAGAGTTTTTTTAGCTTTAACTCTATCTTTATCATGCTTATTAAGAATTGTATTGAAAATATTTATTGTTCTATTATTATTAATGGCTCTAATAATGGTTTCTTCAAAGTCTATCATGGTTTAATGCAAGGTGATCCTATTTCTCCTGCTCCTTTTATTATTGTTGTTGTGTTTATTTCTAGGGGTGTAACTGAATTGTTTGATGCTAATCATAGCCTGTATTTTTGAACTTTGGGAGGTATACCTTTATCTCATTTATGATTTGCGGATGAATTTATTATGTTTTCTAATGGGACTATTAATAAAATTCAAAAGCTTATGGATTTCTTTTACCAATTTGAGAGAGTGAGTGGCTTATCCTTTCATAAAAACAAAAGTTGTTTCATTGCCTCTAAGAGAATTTTGAACGATCGTATTTTATCTATTAATAATCTTAATGGTTTTCCCCATGCTCAATTGCCTATCAAATATCTTAAAGTTCCTCTTTTTTTTTTTTTTTGCTAGGAGGAAATCCTTTTTATTTGATGAACTTCTTGCCTCTATTCAAAATAGACTATTATCGTGGGAGTCCAATTTCCTTAGTTTTGGTGGTAGAGTTATTCTTATTAAAAGTGTTCTTTATGCTTGTCCGGTTTATAGCTTTCAATATATTTTTCCTACTCAAGATATTTGTGATAGGCTTCACAAGCTTATTAATAAACTTTTTTGGAGAGGCACTTCTTCTAGCTCTAAAATTCACTGGGCTTCTTGGGAGAAATGTTGCGATGTTTTGGCTGAAGATGGTCTCGGTTGTAAGAACTTTAATGACCTTGCTAAGGCTTTTTATTTTAAACTTTGGTATAATTTACATGTTAACATTAATCTTTGGGCCAATTTTATGATTTCTAAGTATTGTATTGATAAGCATCCTACTAATTATTTTTCTAAACAAGATGATTCTAGAGTTTGGAAAAGGCTTTGCAAGGTTAAATGGGAGGTGGAGCCCTTCATTTCTTGGGGCCTTGCTGATGGCAATATTTTCTTTTGGCAAGATCGTTGGTTATGTAAACACTATATTGACTCTATGCTGAATTCTTTCTCTACTTCCTCAGTTAAGGTCAACTCCTTTTTTAATAATAATTTTTGGGACTATGATAAGCTTTCCAAAGAGATTCCTGATTGTATCATCCATAGTATTTTAAACTTGCTTATCAATTCTGCTTCTAAATATATTATGTTATGTGATCTTTCCAAAGATGATGGTTTTCACTTAAAGAATGCTTAGCATTCTTGTAGAGATAAAAGAAATAATGATAGCATGTTCAATAATATTTTGTATAAGAGCATCCCTTCTACTATTTTTATTTTTATTTGGAGAGTCTTGCATAGATTTATTCCTATGGATGATAATCTTATAAAAAAAGGTTGTATCTTGGCTTCTAAATGTCAATGTTGTTTTCACATGGAGAATATGAATCATGTTTTTATATCTGGTCCTGTTGTTGTTAGAACTTGGGTAAATTTTGATGATTTGTTTCAATTGAACAGTTTTAACTCTCATTTATCTCTTTTTATGTTTTGATAAAATGTATATAGCATTAAAATAAAAAAAAGGAAATTATTACAAGCAAAGAAAACTACTAGACACTCCCCTTAAAATAAAGTAAAAGGAGGTCTTATTAGCAAGCAATTTAAGCATAATGTAACTATAAAAAAAAGAGGAAATTTCATAATGAAAATAAGTCCCTCTACTTATCATTTGAAACCCATAGGGGTGAAGGGGATACCAAAGATTAAACAATAACCCAAAGGGTTGATTAGTATCCCAAATTCTCAATTGAGTAAAAAATAATAGATAGAGTATATCTAAATTTCTATTATTCTAAATCCTTTTTTTAAATACCACTTTATGCTTACATTTAAAAAAGAAAGAGCAGGATTGTTATACAAAAAAAAAGAATTGAATCTAAGAAAATGGAAAATTGTCAAGATATATCCTATGATCTTGACATCTCCACAAAGCATGTCTTTAAGAAGCTCCACCATCTTCAATCTCTCCACCAAGCAAACTAGAAATTTCCTTTCATCAATCATTTTACTATTTAAATAAAGTAGTGTCTTCAATGCTGACACCAAGATTTGTTGCAAATTTAGGTCTATGAACTATGTTTTGATGATTGGAAAATACTCTTACTTGACTTGGACTGTCTTTTACTACTGACTTTTCAAGAATCAAAGATCAGACGGAAAAATGGAGCCAGCTCAAGATGGGGAAGATTAGGGTTGAGTCAGTCTGTAATTTTATTTTCCCCTCTTGAGTTAATTGTAATCTTTGGTGTGACTAATGCAAAGTAACCCTACACACACACACACTTGAGAGACTAGAATTTCTATTTTTACTCAAATCGGCCAGGACGATATTTACATTGTCCTGGACGATCGGGTTTAAAATAGAAAATCTAATCAGGGGTCACTACA